AATCCTCTGATGCATCTTCAAACAGTTGGTGTGACTGAAGCATTTCCCACACTGAGAACATTTGTACGGTTTCTCCCCGGTGTGAATTTTCTGATGTTGCTTCCAGTATTTTGCCTTGTTGAAGCCCTTCCCACAGTGAGAACATTCATACCATTCCTCTTCAGGATTACACACCGGAAATCTGCTTAGTGAGTTTGTGTTAGTAAAGGGTTTCCCATATTCAGGAGAATTACTGTGTGTTTCTCCAAGATGTTTACTCAGATAAGTGTTCAAGTTATTCCCTGTCCCATTCTCAGAGATTTCAAACCTTTTCTCAGTAATGGTGTGCTTCTCCTCTTGATTCATGTTTGAAGTGTGCTGGTATCGGTCCTCAAACCTTTGAGGACATTGCTCCAACTTCTCTGTAGAAGGTATCGCATTCAGTTCCACTCTGTAGTGGTATCTTCCGTCATACTGGGAGAACATGGACATTTTACCCTTGTTGGTCTTTTCCATAATAGCAGCAGTAAGATCCTTTTCAAGCATGTTCTGTGTATTCTCATTCTCCAGTGGTGACTTCCGTTGCTCCTGGTTGGATTCACAGCGTTCTTCTTCCAGTTCAGCTTTTAATGGCAGATTCCCAGGGCTTATCAAGGGATCTCGCCTGCATATCTCCTCTGGGTCATCTCCTCCACCCTGAAAATTCTCCACTTTAACCCTATTCTCCCTTCTGTTACCTGCAGAGCAAGAGAAAAACACTGTAACCATGCCCAGAATCCTTAATTTCAAGCAGGTGCGCTAACCTCCTTTTCCTTCTGATGCATTTATTTTGGGTGAAACATGCTTCTTTTTCTCTCAGTGCTACCAAATGCCTCCCTTTATCAGAGCTTTGCAGTTTTTGATGATCAGAACACCAAGCAGACAGAGTCTCCGCCACTTTGTAACTGCATTTGTTAATTGAAATATTTCTTGCTAACAGGAACTGGCAGCTTTTTTAAACATTTTCTGAAACCAATTTGCATAACGGATAAAAATGAACTGGTGATTTCTGGATTTACCAGTTAAAAAGGGCTGTGTATGGGAAGAAAGGAACTATGTTTTGAAGGGGGAAATGGGATCAAGTATGTCTATAACTGCTGTAAAGAAGACTGGAAGTCACTTCTTTAGGTATCTTTTTTCCTCCCCTTTTTTCTTTGCTCTCTATTGTTTTCAACACTTTTTTTCTTTATCTTTCTTCCTTTCCTATTATCTTTTAACTTCATCAAAAATCTCTTTAATAAAAATTTTATACACACACACACGCATATATATAAACAAACAGTTTGCATGGTGACTCTTCCCAGTACTTTAACTTCAATCAAGACTACTAAGAATACATGAAAAAATATGTATATTGTGCTACTTTTGAAGCAAATGGTCAGGTTTAACCACTCCTTTCTGTTCTTCCAAATAAATTAGGAGATACCTTTTACTGAATGCCCCAATTCACTACAGGAGAAGTCATGTACAGACAGTCCCCTACTTGCGAACAGCCTCTTGGAACACAACCTGTTCGTAAGGAGGGGACTGTCTGTATCTATTTTTTCATCTGCAATATGTACATAGAAATAAGTAAATGGGTGGGCTGATGCTTCCCAGCCTTGATGGACTGTACACATACCCTCCTTATTTAAACAACCTATGTTTCGACGCTCTTCCTGCAGGACTTGCCAGGCTATGTTCTGGTGGGCTGTGTGGGTCAGCCTCCGCTTGGCTGCCTGCAAATGCACGTCTGTTTCTTTGAGGTCCATAAGTTCCTGTAAAGAGGAGAAGACGCCACCCCCTTCCCGTCAGACTTTATTGCCAAAAGACCCCCCAATAAACCTTCATGCTCACTGCCAAATCCAGAATCATTAATATTACAAAACTATATTCACTCCACTGATCAGTGTTTCCAGCCACAGGGCTAACAAGAGCATCTATCTCAATACAGGTAGTCTTCGCTTACCGTCTGCTTGTTCAGACACCATTCAAAGTTATGACGGTGCTGCAAAAGATTTATAACCGGACCTTGAATTTGCGGCCATTACAGTGTCCCCACAGTCACGTGATCATGATTTGAGCACTTGGCAACTGGCACGCATTTACGATGGTTGCAGCATCCCGCAGTCACATGATTGCCATTTGCAACCTCCCCAGCCAGCCTCAAACAAGCAAAGTCAATGGGGAAGGTGTCAGGAAGTCACAAGTCGTGGTCACATGACGTTGTGCTTAATGACCGCAGGTGATGCGCTTGACAACTGCAGCAGGAACTGATGTTGTAAGTTGGGGGTGGTGACATGACACTTCACTTAATGACTGCATCGCTTAACGATGGAGTTGTCAGTCCCAACTGTGGTTGGTAAGTGAGGATTATATGTATTGTTTTGGTGGAGTTCACATCCCCAAATTTGAAGGTACCCATTGGGTTTTTTTTGCAAAGATAAGTTACCTCTTTTGACTACCCATCTACATATTCTTGGGAGCAGCTGTTCTTGAATCTCTGGATTCATCCTGGGCTCGGCCTCTGAAGGAGACATTTCAACCAGTCTCCAGGGATTAATTAATTTACTGTAAGGGGCAAAGAGGATTCCCCCATCCCAACAGTGTTCTGCCCATATTTCAGGGTACAATTTATTTCCCACAAAATTAAACTGCAACCTTTGGCTCCATTTCTGTGATGGAATGGAATTATGAAGGCCAGGCTCAGGGAGATAAGTGTTTTCTTAGCTCACCGACAGAGCGTGGGAACAAGAGGATGAGGCTGGCGCCTCCCTGAGGAATTCACGGTGTTGTGGCTGGCTGGCTTGGGAGCTGGGGTTTCAGTCTGGGAAGATTCTTGCTAGAGGTATAATAATAAACTTGCTAATAAACATAGCTGGACTGATTTTGCACTGTCTCTTGGAGTTCCTTGGACTAGGCCTGACATCAATCTTCCCAGACTGAAACCCCAGCTCCCAAGCCAGCCAGCCACAACACCGTGAATTCCTCAGGGAGGTGCCAGCCTCATCCTCTTGTAGTTCCCACGCTCTTTCGGTGAGCTAAGAAAATGCTTATCTCCCCAAGCCTGGCCTTCATAATTCCATTCCATCACAATTTCTAGGTATTCTTGTGAGCAAGCGCTCTTGAATTTCTACGCCAGTTATCTATATCTGCAGAAGACATTTCTCCAGGTCTTCAGGGATCAATTGTAAATAAACTCCCAGCTAACAGAACGAACAATGAGGTAGATAGAATTCTAGTTTGAAATAAATACCACCATACTCCAAATCTGACACAACAACTGTCCCACCAAAATAGCACCTACCTCTTTCAGCCCAGCTTGGACCATTCCAGGTCCTTCAAGAGGAAGTAACGAGCTGGTGTGATTTGGGGATTTGGTTCCATTGCCTGCAGGTGACGGAAGACAGACGTTAAAAGGGGGATTCCTTCGTGCCTTCTTGTGTAAATGGCTAATGCAGATCAGCATAAAAGATCTTTCCTTTTTAATGTTGTGAATGAGGAGAAATCTTTGCAGAGGCAATTTGAAATTTAAGAGGAAGAAATGCAGGGGATTCTAAGACGTGCCTTGAGACCAAAAGTTCATCTTTCCTGTTGCGTGAGCAAACACAGATTTATCCATTCTTGGAAAAGTCACTGTGCTACTATCAGTAAAATCATAATTCAGCTGACGGGATAGTAGGGTGGAGGAGGATATGGGGCGGAGGAGGACAGAACTTGATAGGATACCAGCAGAGTTTCCTCCAGCACTGCTCCAAAACTTTACCAACTCATCAGCCAAAATTTTGCAGGCAGATACAAGAATATCGATCTTCTGGAAGACCAGCTTTTCCATGTGGGAAAAAAAAGGTAACTGGCATGTTAGTGCCAGAGGACGATGCAGGCTGGAGTGGGAGTGAGTTTGCAGACACATCAACAGAATTCATTCCCACTTTATCCTTCATGTTTCCTGCGCTCCACCAAACTGTCACCCTGTGAATTGAATTGACAGGGGAATGCTGGTCTCCCAGTAGACAGATATTCCAGCATCAAGATATAGTGAGAATAAAAATGACCTGACAATCAAGACAAAGCTTGTAGGTGTGCTCACAGGGCTGCATCCCATGCCCCACCGACTGTACATAAACTTAAAATGGGTCTGCTGATCTTCCAGAAGACCGGTAGAATCTTTTGCATGGAATAACTAAGAGGTATTTTCCAAAACACCAGCTAAGTATTATGTGGGCAGATGCCTCTGCATGAGCCAGAAGTGAACTCTCTAGGAGTCAAAATGGCCCTAGAGGGCTGTGCTCAGGGACAGACAAGGGGTGGGCACCCCTTTAGCAGATATAAGCAGACATAGGAGCTGGGCAGATTTCCGCCCCTGACCACATCACCACCAGCATCATCAGTGAGGCATCACAGATTGTTCATATGGCAAGCTTTATGCTGGGAGAAGTGGGGAAACACCACTTCAACAGCAGAACAACTAAAGATGACTTTAGGCAGCCTTGTAGCAGATTGTAGATGAGATGGAGACAAAATCATGAGGACCTCTCATTTACAAAAGACTTAGCAGGATCTGAGGATTTGTCCTGTGATCCAAGAGTGGGAAAATGCCTCTCCAAAAATCCCCATTGGTCAAAACGGACAACCTTCTGGAATCTAGTTTTCTTTGCATCTTTCTCCCATTCAGGAAAGTAATGGGATTTTTTAAAAAAATTATTATTGCTATTCCTACCAAGGCCTTGTTAAACTCTGAGCCCTTTTCAGGATGAAAATGAGGCAACCCTATGTGTATGTATGGAGGAGTTGAGGGGTTCACAGAGCTCTGCACTGATCAAATAACTCAGCTGATTGCAGTGATCTTGTCAAATCAAGAGAAAATTCAACAATTAGGTAGTTTGGGGTCCAAATCAAAGGATGGTTCAGCTGTGTCTTGTAGTCCAATTCTCATGCATTGGAACAAACTGCATTTTTCAAAATTCCCTCCTCCAGAAAACAGAATCGAGCACAAGAGCTTTGAATGTCGGTTTTGGGTGCCAGTCTAAAAAACTCAGAAATGCAAACACAGGAGAACATTCAGTCCTGCAGGGGAATTCTTACCTGGCACTCTGATCTCCACTTCAACATCTTCTCTCTTCACAGCCTCTAAGGACTCCTCCTCTGCCTGTTCAAAATCGGTGAGTTCTTCATTTGGTGGCCCCTGAAACAGGAAATACAGCTCTACTCAGAACAGTGGGAATGATTTTGCCATAAATAGGAATCTTGGGGGCTGATTGCCTGGTCTAATGAGATTATCGAAGGGCAATCAAGCTATAGAATAATATGCAAGGTTCTAACCCCCTCAAAGTCCTGTTCAGTATTCTTAGTATCACTGCATTTGCACAGCAAGAAAAGCTGCATCTGTGTATTTTGAATGTTCTCCCCAGAATGAAGCAACAATTGGCAATATTAACTTAGGTGTTTTTGCGCAGGTCTTGGAATCTGTCCGAAGATGGGTTAGAGCCTTTGCATTTTATGGAAGATGCAATCAAACACTGCAAGTGGTAGAACTGACTGGGTGATTAGTAATGGATGGGAGACCACCAGGAAATTCCCAGCTCTATAGGCTGAACTAGGAAGTAAAGAAATTCAAGAAGAAGACAATTTCCTTATTGTTGCTAATAGAATTGCATGCATGAATTAAATCCATGTATTATTAAAATAATTTTATTGTCCTGAATTTGTTGAGAAAAAATAAACGTATGGACAAGGTTAATTATAAAAAAGGGGAAAGAAAATAATGGGCCTTAAAAATTCTGATGTAAATAGAACAACTCCAAAACCTTTGGCTCTACCGTTCAAATGTTCTGCAGTCAACAGGAAACGAAAATGACTCAGAGGTGCCATTCATTTTCATCAAGTTGCAACTGACTAACTGCAGATGTTTACAATGGCCAGATGTTATGTAAACACTGAGATTTATATCCTCACACCCTACCTGAGATGCTTCTGACTTGGTCCCCTGCTGGTTCCTCAGGAAGTCCTCCACCAGGGCCACCGCCTGAGAACAGGTGTCCGGCCTCCTTGGTTGAACCCAGCTCTGGAGTTTTGGAGGAAGGCTGGCCAGGAATTGCTCCAGGATCAGCAGCTCCAGGATCTGCTCCTTGGTGTGTCTCTCCGGCTTCAGCCACTGGTGGCAAAGCTCCTGGATTTGCCTGTAAAACTTCCAAGGATCTTCCACCTCCTGGCAGCAGAACTGCCGGAAACGTTGACGCTGCACCTCCATTTTCACAGCTTCTCCCCTCAAGATGGCCACCTTCACATTCTCATAGTCCCCTTGATGAACTGTGTCCAGGCTCCGAAAGGCCGTTTCCGCTTCTCCGCAAAGGGCCGGCAGGAGATGGGCCACCCACTCTCCTCTGGGCCACCGGCAGGCTTGGGCCACCTGCTCAAAGGAGGCCAGGAAGGCCTTGGGGTCTTCCCAGGGAGAATTCACTGATCTTCCTGGGTTCCCTCCTCTGGGGTGAGAGGGTTGCAGCGTTCTGAGGAATTGCTGCCACTGCGTTTCCCAACGCTCCTCCATCCCAACGAATGGGACTCTGTTGATCTTTCGTGATCTTCCTTATCTTGGTCTCTCGGATGTAGACTGAGGTTCAACTGCTCCAATCTCCTTTCTTTTGGTTCCTCTGCCAGTTCTGGTCCCACTAGTTCTTTCTCCTTTAGCCCCTTCTTCTGCAAAACGTAGAGCATTTTCAAATTAGCCCACTTAGCAGAATACCGTGAGAATATGCAGCATGTCAGAAGCCTAATGCAATTTTCAGAAAGTAATTCTGAGATGCGGCTGATGTGAGCCTAAGTCAATCTGCCTGAATTATTTTATCCTCTTGTACCAATTTCTCATCCTACCCAAAAGGTAACATTAGTCCTAGACAAACACACAATCCTTACAAATTATGAATCTTGGTGCTACATAATTTTTGGGTTTTTTTGGGGGGGGTGGATTTAGCATGAAAGATTATAAACTAGAACAGGGTTCCTCAGCCTTGGCAACTTGAAGACGGGTGGACTTCAACTCCCAGAATTCCCCA